AATAAATATTGTTTAACAACATATATTATGTATGATAAACTTATTATAAGCATTTTTGTTGGATTTATTTTACATTGATCACGCCTATATCATTATCGTTAAAAATTCAAACCATAATTATGATCTCCACGAGYGCTGCATAATAATGTATAAAACATTACAAAAATTGTTCAATGATGGTTAATTTAAACAAAATGCAACATGTTTCGCAATATTTATTATTATATTCGTAACATTATCATAATCTAGTTATTTTTCTAATTTTTATATAACCGATGTAAAAACTACCAATCATATTGTTTAAGACAATAAGATTTAGGCATATACTATTTATATTTTGATCTCATTAATTCATAAAAATACCTAAAACGTTTACAATTTTCCGTGAATTGATAAAACGGAGAAAAATATTGTGTAATTATTTGGTGTTTACATATTATAATGTTATATGCAATAGAAGAATGGAAAGTAAAAAAAAAGATTGTTTAGACACTAGTTAGACTTTGAGAACATGACTTAAATCTATATCTATAGACGTTCTAGACAAAMGTGAACTGCTGAACTTAGAGTTCATAACAAAATATTATAATATGTAAAATAGACATATAATTATACCTAGGTAGCCTAGTATTATAATAACAATTCCGCAGTAATAAAATATTGTAAGATCCATAAATATAATACTATTAAAAAAATGCGGGTAAGTCGTGGATGTCGCTCTACTGTACAGTAGGTTACAAGTTGGTTACTGTAATGTAATTAAATTTGAATCCAATGATGTTATATCATTGTATACGAAAAACGATTCTGAGTGGAGATGATTTATCTGTCTAGGATATACCTATTATAGATTAGAAAAAAGTCGCTCAAATGTTTTGAACATTTTACCATTTTTAGGTAAGACTAATATAAATAAACAACCCAGATTTCAAGTTTTTAAGAATGTTTTTAACCGAATTACAACAAAAAAAACTCCCAGAATTAAAATGTCTATAAATAGCTCAAAAATTACTAACATTTTAAACCGTAAGAAACAAAATCCAAAATATAACAAAAAAGATCTCTTGTCATTTTTCATTTAAAGCAATATTTCTGGTAAAAAACGTCGATCGTAATTATTTAATACTATAGCTGAACCCGTGCACTTCGTAGCCCATTAAAAATCCTATCGCTTTTATGGTCCATAGTTCATATTGTGTGTTAAATTCATAATTCATTCATGGTCGGATAMGCCATTTTTTGGCCTACCGGAAAATTTTAAAAAGGGGTCCCCGCRTGAAAAAAAATTTAATAATACATGATATTAAAGGGCCCCATTACCGTAATACGAAGGGGGGCCCACCGGGAAATGCCAGGTAGCCCGGTAGGCCTATCCGCCCATGAATTCATTTCATGTGATGATGCTAACAGTATATTTTTATACATAATGATAGATAGTGGTTAAAATATATTATAATCTTACWACGRTATTCAATTTCGTATATCATTATGTAATTTTCTTCGTTTTTTCAATATAATGTTGACAATTTAAATATTCAATTCAATGATATTTAGGCATAACACTTTCTAACTTAGCATATCTTYTGCCCATATGTCTAATAMAATTMTGTACCAAATTTTGTCGCAATCGGTCCAGCTGTTTAAGAATATATATAGGACTAACAGATAAATATATATAACCATCACTAATAACACAGAACAATAATAACCACTAATAATAACCGTCACTAAAGCAATCATTTATAAACAAACAAAAATGTCCATCCTAAAAATAAGTCCAGCTGCTCTCGAGAACACTTGTTTGTTTAAATGGTTGCCTTTGACTACCAAAAACTATTTATTTTATTTTTTACTGGGCAGATGGCGCCACTTTAATTTCATCACACCCTCATCATATTTCTCTAACCCCATAACTTTCTMAATTTTTTCATCCGTAAGAACCTTCTCCTGACAATTTATTATGACCCAAACAAAAAAAGAGTGAGCGAAATCGGTTCAGCCGTTCTSAATTGATGAATTGTTATACATTTTTGTCTCYATTTTTATAGATATAGATTATAAAATCGTTAATCGTACGTTTTTCTCCTTTAACCGCTTTTATTTCGAGTACCATTTCGAAAATTGAAAAATTCCCTGTCTAAAGTACCAAATAAAGAACATAACCTTTCAGATAAGATGCACACTTGATACTTTTGAGCAAGTTTTAGAGGGAGAAAAAGTGTTTACAGAATAAAAAAAAATAAATAAATAAATAAACATCATTGTAAAATATCGAATAATACCATAATTTTTAAATCATGTAATATAATAATAATAAATTGGGTGCACTTAATATGCATTATAAGTTATAACCAGTTATGACAATATAGGTAGCAAAATATTCAGCTTACTTTTCGTATACGTCGTCATACTGTTTATAAGTAGTTATAGGCATATTCGTGTATAAAATAATTATAATTTACAACATCTATATGTATAAGATATATAGTGATGCCAACCTATCCTCATTATTATTTATGCAACTACATCAATTAATTATACAAAATCTAATTTCTTATATATTTGTATTTCCAAAACTGAACTAATAATCTAATAAATAATAAATCTAACTGAATAGATGTGTTGTATAAACACTAGTATAAAGAAAAGCATCCATAAAATTAAAATTAATTTAATTTTCCCGATAGGAATAAAACTCATGAAATGAGGTTTTTACATTTTTAGTATTGTGATAGACTGTATTTATTATAAATGCTTCTTCAGTTATGTGAATTCAATAACAATCAGTTGAAAAAATGATTTTCTGAAACACAGAAAACTCTAAAATACTACACGAACACGARCGAGAATGGTTATATTTTTATTCAATAAAAACAATTTACAATAAAAATAAAAATATTTATGAAATAATAGGTAGTAGATATAATAAAATACAATCAAATTTGATATATTTCAAACGAATTTGGCAATTTTTTATTGATGTAATACGTCGTCAACTAGATTATAACGCAGGTTAAGGTTAAAGGTGGGTTTTTGGTATAACAATATTTTTATTCATTATATACGTCATATAATAGTTATTTTTAAAACTACGCTATCAGTTATACACGACGCAGAAAAATATGAAATAAGGAGATTCTTTTTTTTAAGCTTATAATATGTATTTTAAATTTAAATTTTTTAAATTAATATTATTATTTAATAAATATTAAAATGTCCCAAAGCTATCAACGTTTTAGTGTATACCTACACTAAATATTATAAATACCTATTAAAACAATAATATAATAAAAGTATACACTATTTTCAAAAACATTTGACCATTTCATAGATAAAATTGTTTCTATAGAAACATTATACTGTATTATATACTATTGATATAAATACTATAGCTCAACTAATCGCCAACAGCTCCAATAATGGTTGAACATATCGTTGTTACGTAATAAAATATATAGTTGTGTAATCAATTTCACAACCGTGAAACTTGAAAGAAAGAAATCTTCTCTTGTTACAAAGTATTTAATTGAATAATTACAATGGTTTGTATTATCTTTAGAAGCTATCTTTTTAGAATTTATAAAAATACAACTGTAATTTATAATATCCTAACGCGGTACCGATGATATTCATAATAAATAATAATTTTCAATTGATAAAACAAGTAGGAGAATTTGATGAGTGAAAGTTCAATTTTAGTACCTATACCTTTTTTAATAGCTTAATATAATTAGTGAAGTACATGGGTTGAGTGAAATACAGAATAATTATTGATCAAAAATCGAAAAAAATGAAAAGAGGTTGATTGGCGTCCGCAGGCAAGAGTGTGTTTTGAGAAGCAAAAAAAAAAATGTAGAAAAAATTATACTCTAGAATTAGACACTGAAAACTGCAGTACCTAATCTCTAGTTAGTGGTAGAATAATTATTAAGAGAAACATGGTTATTAAAGTTTAAAAATTGTTTACATAAAAATTAACTTGAGTTAAATTTGAAAAAAAAAATAAAGGGTATGATTGACGTCCGCAGGCAAATGTGTTTCGAGAAGCGAAAAAAAAACGTTTAGAAAAAATTATACACTAAA